GCACCGGCACTCGGGAAGAGGCTGAGAAATCACCGTGCCAAGTGCCGTTGAATGTGCTCACTCCCAAGGCCCTAAGTGACTCTGACTACAGAGATGCCTCTGACACGTCTCATCGCCATTCAAAAACTGCACCTATTGGAAAAATTCAAAAAGCGTGAGCAGCAAAAGGCTTTGATGGTCATCTGTGTGAATTTTATGTGCCTACCTTGAATTGTCTAGAAGCTATGATGAGAACATTTTAGCTGTCTGAAGCCGATCGGAGGAGAAAATCTCTGTTCCTTTAACATGGGTTTCAATGAGACAGAAGAAGGGTCTCTCCTCCTTCTGAGGCTTGTAGAGAAAGAACCGTAACACTTACGGACAAAATGAAACCCATTCTGAAAAGCTGACAAAAAGTACTACTTTTTGAGATATGATTTGTTTCGGTACTCCAAAGGGTCTGGGTGTTGCAAAGAGTTGTTTCCAGAAAATGTGAAGGTCAAAAGTTAGTGTGTGAAATTTTCAGTTTAGAGTGGTGAGAGACATTTTTTTTAAGTTTAAATATTCTCAAAGAAATGTACAAAACGACCACAATGTTTGGAGTACATTCACAATTTATAGCTCAAAACGAAGGCATATCCGTTAGCTGCAAGCCAGCATGCGTCTCATTTCAATCGAATTTATGGTTTTCTCAGGACAATGCCAGAAATGGAGCAAAGGAGGGTAATTGCTCCTATCTCTGCCCATTATAATTTTTGTGATTTTTTTCTGAAACTCTCAAGCCGTACCTCAACTTCTACCTGCGATTTTAGAAATACTTTAATAGATATGAAAAAGATTTTTTAACAAGTAATAGCTGAAGGTCTTGTGAGTTTGGTGAAACTTGAATGAAGTCTCTAGGTTAAAGTTAACCTATAAGAGTAAGAGTTCAAATAAGTGATAAGATTTAGCTGAAAATTGAGCAATCCCATTCATTTCAATGGGACCAAAAATCGCAGAAAAAGCTCAATATCTAAAAAAGTATCAAATATTTTAATACCAAAAGTCATTGCTGGTGTAGCGTTATTAAGATCCTATCGTCTGCCCTTAACAGGTGCCCCTTCACACAGTAACAGCGTGCGTGAATCGCCAAGGTCGGGTGCTTGTTTCTGAATGTTGACATTCCAGGAAAGGAGACAGAAGAAAGAAGAAGAACGCTTTTCATTAATTAATCAAAGTACTTTATTTGTGATAAAGCTAATCAAAATATATGTTGATCAATAATAATCAGGTGACTGATCTGTGAAATAAAGATGTCATGATTTATGTGTTTAATGAATAAACAGGACTGTGCACCAGACACACTGATCCACCAGAACATAGAAACGCATGACACATTGTTCTCATCCAATCAGAGCTTTTGTCTGTTGCAGGGCAGAATCTGGGCTGTTTATTTAAATTGTCCAATCCGATTTGCTAAGATTTATAAACAACTAAGTTAATAAAACAGGACAACGCCATTTTAACCTCAGTTCGATCCCAGCTCCAAAGGAGTTACATCATAGACTCAACGTAGTTTCAACCAGCTCTCAAATCACCATCGCTAAAGGAGATTACAGCCTGGCCAGCTGTGTTTTTCTACTTTTAAGCTGAGAACTGTCAAGCTGGAATTTCTGTCGTTTGAACAACAAGACGACGGTTCCTTCACAATAAAAGCTGAACGCGCTGAGACCTGCCGCTACTGCCGGAGCTATCCGTAGACGGGTTTTGTCGTGCTGCAACACTGTTTCATCAGTCCAGTACCAAGGAGGTTCGAGGACCTGACATTCCTGATCTGACCACGGGAGACTCCAGACGGTACGTAGCCTCGCAAGATGGCGTTTCATGTCATGAGCTTCTGAAGCCTCGTGCACCCTAGTCATAACATCAGACAACCAGATCCGCCTGCCTCAGCCTAGAGATTCTGAACACACACACACACACACCAACACTTAAACATTCAAATCCATATGCATCCATCATAGAGAGTCCTGGTACATTGTTTGAATTTATAATTATAGAAATTAAAGATTCTTAAACAATCCCAACTCTCTCTTTTCTTGTCTCTAAGTCAATACAAAGTGTTTAAATAAAACTCCCTGAAGGTAAAAACAACCTCTTCTGATTATAATATCTGGACCTAATAACAGTGTAAGAATATACAACTATATTCCACTACACTGGCATAAGCTGAACGAGCTGAACGTTTTGATACCAAAATAGTTAAAGAATTGTGGAAGTAGTTAAATGCCAAAAAACGTACGGAAGCTGTACACCAAACATGTAAACATCTGAAAATATCATCATTCTTGGAGGTTATTGTTGTGAGTGCTGCTCTGATGAGTTGGTTAGGAAGAGCAGCAGCTGCAGGTAAATGCAGCTTTATCTCAGCTGTTTGCTTGAGTACTTTAGTAAACCACTAAGGACAAAAGGCTGTTCTGCTTTAGAGCTGCAGAAATGTTGCAAAATTATGAAATTATCTCATCGCGTGTTCATACTCCAGCGTTCGTAAACCTTCCAGTGGCCAGGTCAATAAATGAGTAATGCTGGTGGTCCAACAGTATTTATATTACTGATATTAGGATTTAACGGGGTTAAATACTACGGTATCTGTGTTATTGACTCAAACTCAACTCCACAAAAACAGGAAACATCTAAAAGGAAACCATTTTATTTAGTGATGATGTGATAAACGTTAAGCTCAAACCACCACGAGATGTCGAAGCAACCAGTATTCATAATCACGCTCCCGTAGTCTGTCTCCGTGACTGTGATTGATCAAATGACGACACGTGACTGACACGCTACTACAAAGGATGAATCCCCTCCTTTCTCTGACTGATTCTTGAAACCCAATGCTGAAACCAACGGTCAGCCTTTGTGAAGCCAACCAAGAAGTGACAAAACTGCAGTTCCACCCTCATCCACTAGGGTCTGGCAGCAGAAGTGAGCCAATCCTCATTGACTCCCAGGTTAGAACTTTCACAGCAGAAATAAACATGTTTACAGCCTGGTTCAAAATAACATTTTAGGTTTATTAGATCTAGTTTACATTCATGACAACTCTGAGGGGTGGAGTTTTTTCTTTTAACTCTCCTGTTTAGGTGTAACTAAATGCTTGAAATTCTGAATAATTAGATTTGATTGACAGGTAGCATGAGCCTCAGAGCTAGCGCTAGCGGCTAGCAGCTAGCCTGAGATGCTGTGGTGAGTGTGTGCAAATAAAATTGTTTACCCATGCAAGCATGCTGCAAATAAAATAGTTGAGAAACAGACATTTTGGTGTGTTTTTGTGCGTGTATTACAAACATCTACAATCATTGTAAGAAAAGAAAGCTGACTACTTCACAGGTTTTGCCTATTGTGGGTTACTTTTAGATCATAACTGCCGTGATAAATGAGAGACCACTGTGTTTTAACCGTCAATGGTCAGCACCAAGCTCCATGTTAGCTCTAGGTTTGCTCATTGAGCTCGTAGCTTCCTCGTGTGGCAAGGTGGAGAAACAAGGGCCCGGGCGGGATTTGATCCCCAGACTCCCGGGTGAGAGTCATACGCTCTAACCAGTCAGCCAAAGGGACATCTCCTTGGCCAAGTAGCCAGGGCTCATAATCAATCGGAACATTGTGACAGGATGTTCACACTGTCACACTCGGTTTGCTCCTAGCTCCGTGTTAGTTTTGTGTTAGCTCAGTTAGCTCCTAGATACCCAGGTTTGCTCCTAATAAAGAAAGAAAGCAATCTATTATATAGCGCCTCTCAAGATTAAAGGCTCATCACAAGAACAAAACATTAAAAATATATTTAGAAAATGTTTTAAATCTGGTTTTAAAAATGGGAATAAAAAATATAAGGACATAAAGAGAGAAAAAGAATAGGAAAGTTGGAAATCGGTGGATCCCAGGAAAGATGGAGTTGGTAGAAAGAGCAGAGAGGGTGGTGATGAAGGTCACACCAAAGCCAGCTTGAACAGGTGAGCTGGAGGAGAAGTGGGGTAATGTGGGTGTGTTTGGAGGACTTGGTCAGAGGCCGAGCACAGGCTTTCAGAACCACCTGTAGACAGTTCTACTCAGACACACGAAAAACGAGTTGTAGTAGTCTAAGCTTGAGGAGATGGCTCCGTGTTAGCTCAGTTAGCTCGTAGCTCCATCAGTTCAGAGTTTGATGAGTGTTGAATCATTTGCTCCCACCTTCACAGCTCCACTCTCAGCTCCATCTGGTGATAGTGATGACACGTGTTACGCAGCAAAAATGGTGGTGGGAATCGCCCATTTGGCTTCAAACAAGCTTTTCAGAAATCTTTGGGTGACGTATGGGAGGGTTTGTCAACTATCATCTGCCCACTAACAGTCAATGGCTGAAACCATTGAAGACGACCCCCCCAAACCAAAAACCTTTCAGCACTATACGATTCATGTGAATGCCATATTTGGCTTCAAAAGTCGCCATTTTTGCCAAAAAATGATAAGTTTGCAGGTATGGATAATGGTCCTGCTGCTTCAGCAGCATCCAACTCCAACACCGGCATCATTTTCGATATTACAGACGTGTTCTGTTTAGAGTTGTCTGATGGCGGCTGGATGGAGACACTTTCAGCCTGAGAGGCAACAGAAGGATCTTCGCTAAAACCTGAAACACTGAATCATGATTGTCTGTAATTTAGTAATAAACAAAATTGCTTCGGTCTCTCGGTTGCAACAACACAAACACTTTATGCAGAACAACGACACGATCAACCAACAAAAACACGAGAATGTTCACAAATCAGAGCCAAACATCTGAAATATCACCAGAACTCTACAGAGAGGGACTGGTGTCTGGGTTATGTTCATGAGAAAAACGCTGGAGACCTAGCTCAGACTGGAGAAACATTTACATTCTTATCTTCACTTTTAAAAGATGCTGTTAAATCTGAGTCAGCAAGCAGGATGGATGGAGCAGAGGAGGACAGGGGAAAAGTGAAGGGAGGAGAATAAAGGGAAAGGAGTGGGGGGGGGGGTCCTACCTGGGGTCATGACCTTTGGCCTGAGACTGGCCCGCGATGGTGTCCATAATTGAGTCCTGTGAGTACATGCTGATGGGGGTGTTGTACTGCGCGTGGATGATGGTGGCCTTCCCACCGGGACCTTTCACCTCTATGGGTTTATGGGTGGTGAGGGCGGAGTCCATCAGCATGCTGGGGTTGAAGCTGGCGCTGACGGAGGTGGAACGAACAGTGAGGAGGAGGGTGGAGGGATGGGTGGAGGTTAAACAGTCTCACAGCAAACACACACCGAGGAGCAGAGACGCATTGAATCCTTTGGTCACCATCGTAACAGTCTGAACTCACACCTGAGTCAGGATTCAGATTAAACAAGAAGCTCCTCATTTCAAACCCTAACCCTCAGGCAGAGCTTATTTATCTAAAACCAACTTAATAAACACCAGATTGTCCCCAAACACCAGCAGAAAATCAGAATGCCAACTTTTGTTCCATTTGTTTGTTCTTCACTGTTAGCTTAATTTTCTGTGAATTAGTATCCTGAACCGCCTAACCCCGGGTTTCCACGGGAGCCGTCAGCAGCACGTTACTGCAGCAGCACGTCTTGCTCGCGTAAGCTGTTGCTTGGCCCTTCCCACGAGACGCGAAGCAGCAGAGGAGCAGCTGTCACCGACAGAGCACGAAGTCACACGAGCGACTTCGTCAGTAAACACAACAACAAGCAGGAGAAAACTACAACATGGTTTGTGTTTTATGTTCTGTCCGTTTTATAATCGCCAATATGGACCTGAAAAACAAAGGAGACCGCTAGCTAGGTGATAACTTCTCACGGGGACGCACAGTTAGTAACTGTTTTTAAAAGTAAAGCAACCGGAAGGCAGCACGTTCTTTATTCTGAAAATCTTGGGAGCTTCTCTCCATTTCCGCGTCCGATTTCCTGTCTTTCCTTCCCCAAAAATGTCGAACTTGACCCGTTTCAGAGGCGTTGCGCATAGAAAATAGAACCGGCGCGTAAAGGCCGCGACATGCTGCTCCTGAGACGCGGCCGACTTGCGCTGCTGACGGCTGCCGACGGCTCCAGTGGAAAAGGTTCTGTTGACCACAGCGGTTCCTATGAGCAGCTATGACGTGCTGCTGACGGCTCCCGTGGAAAGCCGGGGAAAGTCTGTGATGCCAGAAGAGGCTCAAAGGTGTGGTCCAGATTGTTTTATCTCTAAAATAACAAAAAGAATCGATAAAAATATGACATTTAATCATCTTATACCGAAGCCCATCGGACTAAATCAAATAACGAATGGCTCCGTCATGGTTTTACTTGCTCTAACAGCAGAGAGGTCTGTAGCTACGATAAGTTTCTCACATTATGATGTGAATTTACTGAAAGTCCACGTTTAACCATCCTGGTACCTAACGGAGAATTTCAGGGATTAAAGCCACAGTGTTTATGTGAAAGTTTTTTTTAGAAGAGTCTTCCATCAGGACACAAAACTGCAGGTTCAGGGCAGAACAACCAGATGTTAATGAAGACGGCCTCCCTCTAAAGAAACACAACCATCAGGGAACTCTCTAAGGTTCCCTACAGAATTGTCCTCCGGTTCCACTAGGAGCTCAGGGCTCATGGATGGGGTGACCAGAGACCAGCCCATCTTATCTGACACCACCAACAGAACCAAGCCATGCCTCCAGAAACCAGCCAAACCAAACACACCAGCAGGATGCATCAGTGGGAGGGTACTAACTTGGGAGCAGCTGGGGAGAAGACCTTGTTTGACAAACAGCACAGAGACAACAGGGAGAGAGAAGAAAGACAAGTGGTTAGAAACCAACAGCACCAGGCCAAAGATCAGGGACATCCGTGTTGTCCCTGCATTCAGAGATCAAAGACTCGTCATCTGAATCTAGTCACTTGGAGGATGCCAGAGAGGTGCTGATGGGTCCCTTTAAAAGGAAGGTCATGAGGTCATACTCCACCTTCTAACTAACATACCCAGAATTACATTACAGATGAGGATTCTAACGAATGATTTAATCGGGAGTCTGAACCCTGACCCGGTCCAGGGATGGTGCTGACTCCTCTGGGTGTGTTCTAAGACAGACCCAAACCACAGACATGAAAGTACTATCAGGGACAAGTCTAGATCCTGGGATGGGACTGGCTCGGATCAGGTTCTGTGATGGGAGGTCCATCAAGAACGTCCTGAATCCACCTTCTGGACCTGAGTCAGCCCTAGTGGAGAACTCTGGAGAACTTAGATCTCTAAATAAAATGTGGACACTGTCAGACATGTTTGTAGGGACAACATAGGACGTGGACACTGTCAGACATGTTTGTAGGGACAACATAGGACGTGGACACTGTCAGACATGTTTGTAGGGACAACATGGGACGTGGACACTGTCAGACATGTTTGTAGGGACAACATGGGACGTGGACACTGTCAGACATGTTTGTAGGGACAACATGGGACGTGGACACTGTCAGACATGTTTGTAGGGACAACATGGGACGTGGACACTGTCAGACATGTTTGTAGGGACAAATAAAACGCAGTTTATCACCTTTTAAACTTGTATGTTTCAGACGTTTCTGATGACAACAGAACCTAGCTGTCTGATGATATCAATGATTTTCTGTACGATGATGTCCATAAATGATTTAGCTTGTAACGGGACCATTTTACCCACAAGAAACATGGATGTTATAGTTTGATTTTGTGGAATGTTTTCTCTTCTCAGTTACAAGCTGAGTTGTGAGTTTGAAATAGATTTTTTATTTTCCAGTGTTGAATCTTTTTCTCCCTGAATTATCCAGACACCCACCCTGGGACCGCCGCGGCCTGATACATGTCTAATCCAAACTGGATGTTCTGATGAGTCACTGTTTCTCCTCGTGAGGGTCAAAGGTCAGCACAGCTGTCATAAAGATGCTGCTGGACTTTTGTTTGATGTTACTCTGTTAGAATATCTGGAATCTTTGTGAAACAAGAGGACGTTTGCATAAACACCCTGAACCTAATCAGTGCAGCAGGAGTAAAGGTTAGCTGGTTGGCTCTCATCGGCCCTGCTCTGTCGCTACGTACCCCACAGGCCGACCTGCCTGCATCGCTGCCGCCTCCCTCAGGCTCTCCTCTGAGTACAGGCCGATGGGGGAGTTGTACTGCCTCCTCTGACGGGGGCTGAACTCCTCTCTCCTCCCAGGAGAGCCTGCTTCTACCTGCGAGCAGCCGTTTAGCTGCACCAGCCAAGGCGACCAGTGGGGGCGGAGCCAAAGGAGACAAGAGAGGTGGAGGAAGAAATGTTGGGTAACAGCTGTCAGTATGTGGGTTTTTCCTACAGCCACCAGGGGCAGCAGACTGCTGTGTGCGTGCATGCGTGCGTGCGTGTGTGTGTGTGTGTGTGTGTGTGGGTGTGGGTGTGTGTGTGCGTGCGTGCGTGTGTGTGTGTGTGTGTGTGTGTGTGTGTGTGTGTGTGTGTGTGTGTGTGTGTGTGTGTGTGTGTGTGTGTGTGTGTGTGTGTAAAAATCATTTTTACTTCCTTTCTTGATTCAAAAGCAACATTTTTCACTAAGCAGGAATGTGAACTGAAGCGCTGGAGATTTTGTAAGGTCACATTTTTGTTTGTATTTATTTAAATGTAGTTTTCTTGTATTTACTTGGCTTTTGTTGAAGTTACTGGTTTCATTTTTAAGTTGCTTTTCCAGTCATAAACATGGGTTAAAGGAAACTTCTGAGTGGCGTGTCCTGATGTAAACACTGTAGAAACTGGATTCTGAGTGGTCATTAAAGAAAGTTGAAACTGCCCAGAGGAGAACAACATGAAACATAAGACCATGGCAGCAGACGATAGTGATGGGAGAAGACAAACACTTTCACAACACACGTGGGTTTGGAAGAAAGGCATTTTGGGTAAACTTACCTGCTGGTGTGGAATCACGGGAATGGCAGCATCCATTCTCGGCATGGGACGCTTGGACCTGAGTAAAAACAGTGAAGGTGAAATGGCTTGTAGTTGATCTTCTAGGGTTCTACAGGTCCCAAGGTGCACACACAAACACACACACACACACACACACACACACACACACACACACACACACACACACACACACACACACACACACACACACACACACACACACACACACACACACACACACGCACACACACAGTGATGAGCTACATCAGCCACAGCTGCCCTGGGACACACTGACGGAGGTGAGGCCCGGCTGGTCCCTCCAACCATTTCTAGCAGGAATGGAGGGTGAAGTGCCTTGCCAAAGGACACAACGACTGGGACAGATGTTGCAGGAACTGGCAAACCAAGGATTATAAGTCTCTAAACTGATGTTTTGACTTACAAACATGGCATGAACTTGTGGGACACTGCAACTATGATGATGTGCAAAACCTGCAAAATTTTGTTGATGGCATGAAAATCGAACCAGAAACAGAACCAGATGAGAGGCTTTAGAGTTGGTTCTTACAGATTTAGCAGGTTCTGGAACACCAAAATTGTTTCATCTTTCACGGATGATTTCTCAGGTGCTACATTTGTGTTCTACCTGAAGCAGAAGAGACACCGTTCAAGCAACAGAACGGTTCATAGCTGACAGAGCCGCATGCAGGAAGATAACCGCATGAAACATCAGCACCATTCACCTCACCGACACAGGACAGCAGAGAGAAACCGCTGTACTCTATTCGATATGACTAGACGCATGTTCCTCGAAAGTGAGTTACCAAAGTCGTTATGGCCATAAGCAGAGCAGACAGCGACAGTAATCAGAAACAGATAACCAACAAGACAGACCCTGTACGAGATGTTACCTGGAAGAAGACCAAATCTGTTACGAATGAAGAAGTTCAGATCACTGTGTGAAGCAACAAATCACGTCAGTCTGTGCACATGCACCCCCACTCCAATGGTCCCGCCCTAACGGAGAAGGGATGATGCGCTCTGGATCACAAACTCCTTACACTCACTAATCAACCATAAAGCTACTGTAGAGAAAGGTCTCTGGTGCTGCTGCTGAAGGTGAAAGGTTAACAAATATAAGAAAGTACAGGGAGGCCAGAGGGAGCCTAGCTCCCCTAAAAGGGTGATGGGCTCCCCCGAAAGCCCTCAACAGACACCCCAAAGGGGAGCCCACTGTTCACTGCCATAGAAACTCAAAAACCCTTCACCCCTGGATGTTGGCCAAACAACCCCCCTCTCTTTCTGAGATTTTGGTTTAGGAAATATTATTGTCACAAAACAATAAACTACAGTTACAATCATGTTGTAGGGGCGGATTTAGGATTGAAAAAGTTCCGGGGCTTAGGCCAGATCAGTGATCTTTATATGTTTTGTGATACATTTTAACTTTCACATGTTGACCACCCTGAAGTTTACAAAAAGCATTAGATTACACTTAAAAACTGGTATAATTTTATAATATATATGCAGCATATGTTGTTGGTAGTACTATGAAAACAAATCCTCTCTTGGTCATTAAGATTTGAGCCATTTCTATAAAGCAGGGATTCCCAAAGTGTGGTGCGCGCACCCCTGGGGGTGCGCGAGCTGCCGCTAGGGGGTGCGCGAGGTCAAAAGTGTAATGGCTGCGGAGCTCAGAGAAGTCTTAAAAAGTCACCATTAGCGTAGCCAGAAACTCATTTGTGGGTGGGCCTAAGAAAATGTAAGTGGGCCCAATAAACGTAATTGAAAACAAGTATATTTTGCTTGTGTGTGTGTGTGTGTGTGTGTGTGTGTGTGTGTGTGTGTGTGTGTGTGTGTGTGTGTGTGTGTGTGTGTGTGTGTGTGTGTGTGTGTGTGTGTGTGTGTGTGTGTGTGTCCTCCGCACATGCCCTAGCTCAGGGGTCGGCAATCCGCGGCTCTGGAGCTACATGCGGCTCTTCCATCCATCTGATGCGGCTCTCTGTGCTTGTAAAATAATGAATGGATATTGAAATAAAATGCTTTATATTTTACTGCATAAATTTTACACCTGTATGCCAATTCTAAATGTAAAGATTGTCTGCGTAAACCTGAACAGGTCCAACCCGGTCTACTCTGTGACCGGGTTGACGCGTCACGCTTGTGCGTAATCATATAGGCGCTTTCTGAGCTGAAGACGATGTGAGATTCTGGGACTCTCCACAGACGCCACATTGGAGACAGGAACAAGCACAATTCCGCCAAAGTTTCATCATCAGGGAACATTTTCTAAGTGACAAGTCTCTCTGAGAGACAGGGTTTGGAAAACTCTCGCTTCAGTGGAAGGAATCTTCCTGCATGCGCTCTGGTTCTGCGACGCGCTCCAAGCCCCTCTCCACATCTTCAGCTCGCTGTGCACCTTATGTACGCGCTGACAGTGAGCTGCGCTGAGCAGTGTCCAGCTCAGATGTTCAGAAGGAAATCTTTTCTTGAGTGATTTAGCTACATCTGCGATGTGCGAAACGAATAAAGTGTCAGTTCGTCTGCATGCGTCGGGGTAATTCTTTCTATTCTTTCTCCGTCACAATAAACGGCCAAATACGGGAACTATCCGGTCAACACAACACAAGCCCTGCTTTTAACTGTTTTGTTTTCTTGTGAAAATTGTTGCAAAGAGATACAATTTAACTTGATTAACACCAGAGCCAGGCGCACTGCACCGTTATCTCCATCGCTGTAAATGAGGGAAAAACAAATTGATTGGATCCTTTTCTGACCTCCCCCACCTACAAAGTTTAATTACAACAATCAAATGTGACAGAGCCTGGATTTGTATTCTGAACAGTCTAAACATGTTTTAAAAAGAAACGTATGACAAAAGTGGCACCTGCTCAGTAAAACCACCCACAGGGTGAAAAATATCAAAATATTGTAGGCAGAGACGGGCTACAACTTCTGGATCCACGTTATAGAAATCGTTTTATTGATTATCGTCTTATGAAAGATAGCTTTGACGTACACGAGCGACCGGTACCGGCTGCTGTCACCTGTTAAGAACAGCGCTCTGCTGTCTGAGGGTAGGCCCCGTCCACAATGCCGCGGCTGCTGCGGTGTTTTCTTTACTGTGGGAAACGGGTGATAATGGCTCTTTGATGGGAACAGGTTGCCGACCCCTGGTTTAGCGTGACGTCTGATACCATGCCCTGATGTGGGGCTGGGGGGGGGGGGGGGGGGGGGGGGGTGCATCAACATGGTCGGGACATAGAAGGGGGTGCGCGGCTAAATAAGTTTGGGAACCACTGTTATAAAGTAATCCTTAAATTCATTGAAAAGGCAAAATTCACAATAGTCACTGAAATAATTAGACACTCCAAATATAGCAAAAACAAACTGCTAAACTATAATTAAGCAAAAATAATAACAATTGGAAAGCTTTATTATCTTTGTATAACAGAATATGCAGCCGGCACAACGATCATGAGCGTTTTTGTTTTACTATCTAAACATCTACTTTACTCCTTTTAGCTTCTTAGTGACCCAGAGAGCATCAGCCTCTGTTATTAGTTCACTTTTATGATGATTATTCCAGCTTGTGTGGATTCTCCCCATGGAAGCTTCTATGTAACGCTATTATTGTACATTATCTTACTAACACAACTTTAAACAAGATGCACAAACCTGAGTCCTCACAGCTGCTGGGCTTCCTTTAGTTCCACAACAAACCTTCCTAACATCAGCCTGATTCATACGTCACTATGAGCCTCGCAGTGGAGGGAGGCACATGGAGTGTCGGAAAGGTTTCCACATGCCAACGCAGGCAGAGGAGTGTTGCAAAGCAGTTCCCCGCCAGGACAACAGAGGGCGTAGCGCTTTTCTGTGGTATCCTACCACCATAACCCCTATTTATCGAGTCCATGATAGTGTTTAGATATTTCAAAGACTTTATAACATGGATCAATTTGTCTTTCATTCTCCTCCGCCTCTTCATGTGGTCGCCACCTCTAAACCCACCTTTCCCGTCATTTTTGGCACGGGTGAATAAACGTTTGTATTTTCAGACTTTTGCTGCGATGCGTTCCATCTCTTCTGGGTCTGCCGCTACATATCTTTTTACTTTTTATCGGGGCAACGGCGGTGCTGGGGATGAATTTACAGGAAGCGATGTCCTGACGAATCACAGCTTGCGGTGTCTGTCAATCTGGACGGATGTTTAAAATTTTGGGCACGTGTCCATGTCTGTGAGCGGGTCGGTGAGACCGTGTGCCGACACCTAACGGTGTTGTGTGCCTCAGCACCGACAAACAGAGAAGCTTGGTTTATGCTTGACGCATTCACCTTCCGCGCGGTGATGCGGCTCGCGGATGGAACGCGCTTCACAACTCGCAGCGTTTTTGGTTCATGCGGCTCGTCTCTGCGGTGAGCCAATATTCTCCCAAACTGTAGGGGGCAGCATGGAGCTCTACAGCATGCATCCAACACTACACCATAGTAGAAGTAGAAATTACTGTTTACAACATGGCATTCCAGCATTTTTAACAGCATCCTCGTCTTTTCCGACAGTGCGAGCTATTTCTCTCCAAGAATTATTAACAACATGTTGATCACGGTGATCTCTGAGAGCTGAATCATACAAATGTCTGTATTTACGAACCTCTGCCATACTAGTTCTTGCCAGTCTGCCATGTTTTTCCGCGTCCGACCGTACGCGTGGTTAAGGTTGGTTTGTGCTTGACGTGTCCGCGAGGTCCGCGCGGCAAAATTGTGTCATTTTAACAACCACACCCCTCCACCGCGCCTCCGCACGGCCCAAAATTTCCGCAATGCGCACCTTGGAAAATTTCTAACCACGCAGACGGTCGGACGCGGAAAAACACGTCCAGTATAAAGCTCTGATGTTCTGATGGGAATCTTTTCTGGATTGATTTAGTTCCCTCCGCGATGAGCGTAACGATTAAAATGTCAGCTCATCTGTGTGTGCATCAGTGTGCGTCGGGGTAATTCTTTCAAAACAACCAACATCCTTGAGTTTATCTGTCAAAATAAACAGTCAAATGGAAATGTCTGTAACCTGCCATTTAATTGTTTTGCCTTCTTGTGAAGATTGTTGCAAAGAGAAATAATTAAACTTGATTAACCCCAGAGCCACGCACACTGCGCTGTACTGATTGTAAATGAGGAGAAAAATGATTTAATTGGATCCTTTTCTTACCTTTTCAACATGGTTTAATGTAAAGTTTCATTCAGTACAAACTTTAGTTACGCCAATCTAACAAGACAGAGCCTGGATTTGTATTCTGAACAGTTTAAACATATTTAAAACGGAGACGTGCGTGACGCGTCTAAAATTTGCCCCTGCTCAACTATTATGGAAATTAAACTAACAAGATGAATAATGTGAAATAATTGTAGGCACAGACAACATCCCCCACACTTTTTAAAAGCTTGCAATGCGCCTGACTATGCAGGTGCACCCTCTCTGGTGGACTTTGGTACTGCATTGGACTTCTGAATATTTTTTCATCCTTCAAGTCAAATTTAGGTTCAGGGCATTTCAGAAAACATCCAAGACCACCCCCTAACCCCGCCCCTGGTGCGATGAGAGAAGGAAGTAGTAGAGTTTTTGTGTTTATGTTTTCTGAGAGCTCAGACATCAGATCTGAGCCTGTTTGTGTTCAGATAAACCTGTAGCAGTGGATTAGGACTGCTGCTTCCTGTGGAGGTGTTCTGGGCATGCTCAGTCAGACTGTGTCCCAGAGGTTGCCATGGTAACGCTGCTGAATGATTTATGTGTCCAACAGAACAGTTCTATAGTGCTAAAACTTAGGACAGCAGGTCAAAGGTCACAAAGCATGTCCAAATTCAGGGCCCACATCCTTGTAAGGACCCCCCCCAGCCGGTCCACATAGTCCATAGTCCGGGTCCTTCCTTCATCACTAAATCTGGAAGTGAGTTCGAATGAACTAAGTTAAAGTTAAAGTCCCATTAGTTGTCACACACACTAATGTGTGTGCGAAATTTGTTCTCTGCATTTGACCCGTCCCCTGGGGGAGCGGTGAGCTGCAGACACAGCTGCGCTCGGGAACCATTTGGTGGTTTAACCCCCCGAATCCATCTCCGTAATACTGAGTGTCTAGCAGGGAGGCATTGGGTCCCATTTTTTTCTAAGTCTTTGATATGACCCGACCAGGAATTGAACCCTGATCTCCCAGTCTCAGGGCGGACACTCTACCACTTGGTCAATCCTGGCCTTCCCCTGGTGTATGTCCTGTTGCCTAGCAACTATGACAGCGCTGAACAGAACCATGACAGTGCTGAACAGAACCATGACAGTGCTGAACAGAACCATGACAGTGCTGAACAGAACCATGACAGTGCTGAACAGAACCATGACAGCGCTAAACAGAAGTTGCAACTAAACAAGGTGGTTTGAAGGAAGACTTTATAGCTCGAGGACTTTTCTTTTTCTTGACAGATGATTTGTATTAATGGAAGAAAAGGCCCAGCAGCACAAAGGCTTCAGATGTTATTGTACCGACATGCAACCCTCTCTCGCTTCAGCCGCCAGGGTTCTGCTGCAAACCCGGGTGAGAAACTCCAGCACCGCCATCGGCGTTTAGCAAAACAAAGACGCATTTGTAAACACACTTTTGTCCAAGTGTGGAGCGTGTTGTTGCTTCGCTGTGACATAATCGACTCTGGATCTGGACACAGTCTACCACCACCTCAGAACCTGTTCTGGAACAGAAGACCTGTCCTCTTGACAGGAAGTGGAGACAGAATGCAGAGAGAAGGTAACCAGTGGAGAAACCAGGTCTTACTTGGACATGGAGAGAGCCAAGTTGTGATTGGCCATCTTGATTCTGTTCTGGGCCTCCAGGTGTGTCATGCCCTCCGTGCTGAGGCCGTCGATGGCGACAATGACATCACCCTGGATCAGGTTACCGTGGGCCGCCTTGCTGCCTGGCGTGATCTGTCCAAACGAAAGACAAAAGTGAAAAAATCATCATCTGACGCAGATCACAGGTCACCGAGCATGTCGCTCCGATTCACCTCACTGGGAAAAGCTGCCTGGAAAAATAACTACACTTTCCAAGAATCAATCAGGGAAATGGGAAGGAGAACTAATCAATGCTAATGTGCACTTAGAGTTCAGTAATCTGAAAATCCAGGTCAGAGCAGAGAACAGGGTGAGGACACGTAATCGGCACGTTGGAACAGGTCTCTCCTCTTAGAGGCGGTAGCAGAGAGCTCAAACTGGCCCCAGTAGGTCCTGGGTTGACCCGGGGGCCTCCTGGGACGTGTCCAGGAGGAGTCCTAAATGTCCAAACCTCCTCTGCTGGCTCCTCTCCTCACAGAGGAGTGGCGCCCAGGGCTCATTACCCACAGCTCATGACCAGAGGTGAGGACTGGGAGCCATGTTAGATCCCATCATTAATAAAGCTGCACCTTTAGGATGAAGACAGCAAAACAAAAACAACTTCTGGAATGTCAGGCTGAGAAATATTTCAAACCATGTATCTGAGGAGCTGATTATCAGCTGACTCTGTACAGAGACACTTCCTGTTGAACAGGAAGTTGTCTCTGAGACAGGGATTGTTACATCATGAGGAGGCATGGGGCTTATTGGCTCAGCCTCCGACCCGTTTGGTCAGCTGGATTAAACCGAACCGAACCACTCAGCTAGCTGCTCACTGAGCCTGAACAATGTGAGGTCTGTGTGAGGCTGACCCACTTTCCCACGCTGACCTATATATGTGTCACACACAGGCACCTCTGCAGGTCCCCCCCACACAAACACAAGGTCAGAGGTCACAGAACTCTGAAGGTTCGGGATTGGTGATTGAGGAGAACAGGCTCAGAGACTACTTCACACCCTAACCCTTCACGTCAGCCGAGAGACAGAAGAGGTAACTCTGGTTTCACAGATAACCCCTGCTCCACTTACACATGTAACTGTGAGTTTTAGTCATTTTGGGGCCATTTTAGGTTCCCGTCCTCCTTGTTGTAGTCCCGCTGTGTCTCTGCAGAAACTGTGGTTCTGACTGGGCTCTGTTTGCAAGACTGAATGGTGACTCTAGTCTACACATTCATGTCCTCTGAAAGGTGTGACTACAGCAGGTGGGTTTCAGCTCCAGTCTGAAGCCTCATCAGCAGCTTCACTGCAGAGTTCAGATTAACATCGTTTCTGCAGAGATGAATTCAGATTATTCAGGGTGAACAGCTTCTGTTATGATTTTTGTCATTTTATCATTTTGAATTATGATTCATTAAATGTATCATCCAAATGATCTTTTGTACTTTCTATGGTTTGAATTTGTGCTTTTTTCACATTTGATGAATAAACTTGCATGTCTGTAACAACCTTTATTCTCAGTCAATTAATTCCACTTAGCTGCACTTTTTTACCTGTTTGGCTTTTATTTTTGTTCATTAATGACAACAAGCACACACACACACACACGCACGCACGCACGCACGCACGCACACACACACATACACACACACACACACACACACACACACACACACACACACACACACGTTGGTATCATACCCTAACCCTAACAAATGAGGTTCTATTCCTAATCCTAATCTAAACTAAAGGTTAATTCACACCAAACGTCTGAAACCAAGTTTTAGGGTGTCCAGCATTGTGTGGACCAGCAAAATGTCCCCACAATGTGTCCAAACAGTATAGGTTAAAAGTTCAAATTTCACACACACACACACACACACACACACACACACACACACACACACACACACACACACACACACACACACACACACACACACACACACACACGCACGCACGCACGCACACACACATCAATCAACCTGACAGTAATGGGAAGCCAGAGTACCCAGACAGAAGCCACAAATGCACAGGGGTAACAGGCAAACTAAATGCAGAAAGACCCCAGGCTGGGATTCAAACCCTGCCTGGCAACAGTGCCACCCACTGCACCATCTTTTTGCCTTCTTTTTGAAACAAAATCTCACAATTTTATAATCCACATGTCAAATTTTTTTGCCTTTGTAGTCAAAGACATAAAATTTCACAAGCCTCAAAGACACTCATAAGGCTGCTGTTTGTTTTTAGGGAGTGATACAATTTGGGATCCCGGATGTGGCACCCTTTGGAATGCCCCCTGTCAGACCGAGCAGCTGTAATGCGATGAAGAAGAGCTCAGGGAGCTTGGTCAGCTTCGTGTGTTACAGCCGGAGTCGAGTTTCCCGCTGCTCGGCTTTCACACTCTGTAAAACTTCAGGTCTGCAGCTCAGATAGCGACAACAGCAGCAACCTGACGCCTATGGGAATCACAGCCTCACACATGTCATGTATTAAACATCAATCATGAGAAAAACCTGCAGCCAAAAGAGACTCAATTATCCACAACGTATAAGTTTCTCTGAATGAGTCATTAATCATTTCTGAAGAACGCTAACTTTGTGTCTTTCAGAGGTTCTGATCCACATCTGATCCTGACCCAGATTTACATCCTGATCCTGATCCAGATCCTGAACCAGACTGTAGTCCTGATCTAGACCCAGACCCAGAATCTGATCATAAACTGGACCCAGATCTGATCCTGATCCTGATCTAGACCCAGATCCTGATCCAAAACCACACTGTCGTCCTGATCTAGACCCAGGTCCTGATTCTGATCTAGACCCAGATCCAGATCCTAATAGTGATCCTGGTCCAGATTCAGACCTAGATTCTGGTCTCGATCCAGACCCAGACCCTGATCTAGACCCAGATCCAGATTCAAATCCTGATCCAGATCCTGATCTAGATCCAGAATCAGATCCTGATCCTGAATCAGATTGTGGTCCAGATCCTGATCTAGACCCAAATCCCGACTCTGAACCACAGTCTGCTGTGGTCCTGATCTAGACCCAGATCCTGATCCTTATCCAAATCCTAATCCTGATCCTGGTCCAGATTGTGGTCCTCATCTACACCAAGACCCAGATTCTGATCATGAGCTAGACCCAGATCCAGGTCCTGAACAAGATTGTGGTCCTGATCCAGACCCAGATCCTGATCCTGATCCTAATCCTGATCCTGTTCCACATTCAGACCTAGATTCTGGTCCTGATCTAGACCCAGATTTCAATCCTGATCTATACCTAGATCCATATCACAATCCTGATCCTGGTCCAGATCCAAATCCAGACCCAGATCTGGATCCAGATCCTAACCCAGACCCAGATCCTGATCTTGAACCAGATTGTTGTCCTGATCTAGACCCAGACCCAGATTCTGATCATGATCTAGACCCAGATACAGATCTTGAACTAGTTCCTAATCCAGACCCAGATCCTGATCTAGACTAAGATCCAGATCCTGATCCTGAACCAGATTGTGGCCCTGATCTAGACCTAGATCCAGATCCTGATCCAGATCTTGATCTAGACCCTGATCCAAATCATGCTCCAGATCCCCAACCAGATCTTGATTCAGACCCAGATCCACAATAAGATTCAGATCCATATCCGGACTCACTCCTCCTTGAACCATCACCTTATCGTTGTGGAGGAGTTTGAGTGCCCTGATGATCCTAGGAGCTATGTTGTCTGGGGCACTTTGTGTCCCTGGTAGGGTCTCCCATGACAAATTGGTCTTAGGTGAAGGGTGAGACAAAGAACGGTTCAGAGGATCTTTCATGGATGAACTATCAAGGAGTCGGAGTACCCAGCCCGGAGGGTTACCGGGGTCCCACCCTGGAGCCAGGCCTGGAGTTGGGGCCCGTGAGCGAGCGCCTGGTGGCCGGGCTTTCGCCCATGGGGCTTGGCCGGGCCCAGCCCGAACCGGATACATGGGCTCCTCCAACTGTGGACCCACCACCCGCAAGAGAAACATGAAGGGTCCGGTGCAATGTGGATCGGGTGGCAGACCGAGGCGGGAGCCTTGGCGGTCCGATCCCCAGACAAGGAAACTGGTTTTTGGGACATGGAACGTCATTTCGCTGGCGGGGAAGGAGCAGGAGCTTGTGGCAGAGGTGGAGCGGTACCGGCTAGATATAGTCGGACTCACCTCGACACATAGCATTGGCTCTGGAACCCAAGTCCTTGAGAGGGGTTGGACACTCTTCTTTGCTGGAGTTTATCCGGGTGAGAGGAGGAGGGCTGGGGTTGGCTTTTTGTTAGCCCCAAGACTCTCTGCCTGTGTGTTGGGGTTTACCCCGGGGGATGAGAGGGTAGCTTCCCTGCGTCTTCAGGTCGGGGAATGGGTCCTGACTGTTGCTTGTGCTTATGGGCCAAATATCAGTGCAGAGTACCCCCCCCCCCCCCCCCCCTTTTTGGAGTCCCTGGGATGAGTGCTAGATAGTGCTCCATCAGGGGACTCCATTGTCCTGCTGGGGGACTTCAATGCTCACGTTGGCAATGACAGCATGACTTGGAGGGGTGTGGTTGGGAGGAACGGCCCGCCTGATCTGAACTCGAGAGGTGTTTCGTTATTGGACTTCTGTGCAAGCCGCAGTTTGGCCATAACGAACACAATGTTCGAACATAAGGATGCCCCTTGGTACACTTGGTACCAGGGCAGCCTAGGTCGCAGGTCGATGATAGACTTTGTAGTCGTATCATCTGACCTGCGGCCGTATGTTTTGGACACCCGAGTGAAGAGAGGAGCGGAGCTGTCAAGTGATCACCACCTGGTAGTGAGTTGGATCAGATGGCAGGGGAAGATGCCGCGTAGACCTGGCAGACCCAAATGCATAGTGAGGGTCTGCTGGGAACGCCTGGCAGAAGAACCTGTCAAGACGGTCTTCAACTCCCACCTCCAGCAGAGCTTTGACCGCGTCCCGAGAGCAGGGCGGGACATTGACTCCGAGTGGGCCTTGTTCCACTCTGCAATTGTTGAGGTGGCTGTTGCTAGCTGTGGTCGCAAGGTGGCCGGTGCCAGTCGTGGTGGCCACCCCCGTACTCGCTGGTGGACACCAGAGGTTCAGGGAGCCGTCAGGCTGAAGAAGGAGGCCTACAGGGCGTGGCTGGTCTGTGGGTCTCCGGAGGCAGCAGACAGGTACCGGATAGCCAAGCGGGGTGCAGCAGTGGCAGTTGCCGAGGCAAAATCTCGGGCGTGGGAGGAGTTTGGAGAGGCAATGGAGAAAGACTATCGATCGGCTCCAAAGAGATTCTGGCAAACTGTCCGGCACCTCAGGAGAGGGAGGCAGCAACTCACTCAAACTGTGTACAGTGGGGGTGGGGAGCTGCTGACGTCAACTGGGACTATAGTTGGACGGTGGAAGGAATACTTTGAGGAGCTCCTCAATCCCACCTACGCACATTCTGAGGAGGAACCAGAGCCAGGAGACCTGGGTATGGACTGTCCAATCTCGGGGGCAGAAGTTGCTGAGGTAGTCAAACAACTACACAGCGGCGGAGCACCAGGGGCAGATGAGATCCGTCCTGGGTATCTCAAGGCTATGGATGTTGTAGGGTTGTCATGGTTGACACGTCTCTGCAACATTGCGTGGTCATCGGGGGCAGTTCCTAGGGAGTGGCAGACTGTGGTGGTGGTCCCCATCTTTAAGAAGGGTGACCTGAGGGTGTGTTCCAACTATAGGGGGATCACACTCCTCAGCCTCCCTGTAAAGGTCTACTCCAAGGCACTAGAGAGGAGGGTCCGATCGATAGTTGAATCTCAGATTGAGGAGGAGCAATGTGGTTTTCGTCCTGGCCGTGGAACTGTGGACCAGCTCTATACGCTTGCAAGGGTGATGGAGGGGGCATGGGAGTTTGCCCAACCAATCCACATGTGTTTTGTGGATTTGGAGAAGGCTTATGACCGTGTCCCCAGGGGCACCCTGTGGGGGACGCTCCAGGAGTATGGGGTGGGTGGCTTTCTGTTAAGGGCCATTCAGTCCCTTTACCAGAGGAGCGTGAGTTTGGTCCGCATAGTGGGTGGTAAGTCGGACCTGTTCCCGGTGAGTGTTGGACTCCACCAGGGCTGCCCTTTGTCACCGGTTCTGTTCATTACAGTTTTGGACAGAATTTCTAGGCGCAGCCGTGGTGTGGAGTGTGTCGAGTTTGGTGGCAGGAGAAACTCGTCTCTGCATTTTGCGGATGATGTGGTCCTTCTAGCTTCATCCAGCTCTGACCTTCAGCTCTTGCTGGGTAGGTTCACGGACGAGTGTGAAGCGGCTGGGATGAGGATCAGCACCTCCAAATCTGAGACCATGGTTCTTGACCGGAAAAGGGTGGCTTGCCAACTCCGGGTTGGGAGAGAGGTCCTACCTCAAGTGGAGGACTTAAAGTATCTCGAGGTCTTGTTCTCAAGTGAGGGCAGGAGGGATCGGGAGATTGACAGGCAGATTGGTTCAGCGTCTGCAGTGATGCGGACGCTGAGCCGATCTGTCGTGGTGAAGAGGGAGCTGAGCCAGAAAGCCAGGCTCTCGATTTACTGGTTGATCTACATCCCAATCCTCACCTATGGTCATGAGCTTTGGGTAATGACCGAAAGAACGAGATCGCAGATACAAGCGGCCAAATGAATTTCCTCCGTAGGGTGGCCGGGCTCAGCCTTAGAAATAGGGTGAGGAGCTCGGACATTCGGGAGGGACTCGGAGTAGAACTGCTCCTCCTCCGGATCGAAAGGAGTCAATTGAGATGGTTTGGGCGTCTGGTCAGGATGCCTCCTGGACGCCTCCCTAGGGAGGTGTTTCGGGCATGTCCTGCTGGCAGGAGGCCCCCGGGTCGACCCAGGACACGTTGGAGAAGTTACATCTCCAATCTGGTCCGGGAATCTCCATTTTAAATGGCCGCTGGCCTCTGACCTGCAGTATCACCAAGGCCCTCTTTTATCATTCGTACTTACGCACAGATCTGTGCATTTGTCATGCTTATAAACTAATTAACACATTGTGTGGTATTCATCATGTTGTACTTGTGAGTGGAAATGTTCTTAAACATGAGAAAATCTCAAACCTTGCGTAGGAACAGCATCTAGTGGTAGAACGGTGGAACCGCCAAGGTATCACATATGTTCCTCATTCACTAATTATTTTAACCAGTAAACAAATATTTCACTGGAAACACAGCTGTGCCACACAACCAGTGCTAAAACCTGTAAAAGACATCTGAGACTGATGGGAATCTCACATTGTAGCATGGCTGATCTGGTGTTAATGGAGGATTTGGCAGATCTGAACTGATTCCTCAAGTAGATTAGACAAACCGCACAAATCCGATTCCAGTCCATATTCTATATTACAACACGGAGAACCCCCCCCAAGACTCTCCTCTGCTCCTCAAACATACACACATCGCCAAGGGAACCAGACTGAATGACAGCTCAGAAGAAGCTGCACGCTCAGACAACATTTCCAAATCAAACTAACTTCAAACAGAACAACTCACTGCTCTACGATTTATCATATTCAATTTTTTATTTATTTCAGATGGGGACCTCCCGACCGCGTTTGTAACCTCTGCAACTTGTTTGGTTCTTTTGCATTTCAGCAACCCGTGTCTCAATGTCTCTGTCAATAGTTTGTTTTTTCTGTTTTCTTTTTTCCATCCATCCGTCCGTCCGTCCATCCACCCATCCATCCATTTTTCTGCTCACAGATTAAAATTCACTTAAAAAAGTTTTTTTGGTTCTCAGGAAATCAGCACGCTGAAGCACATTTCCTACATTGTTCTCTTCTTTTGTCACCAGGAACTGCACAGACCGAGGGGTTAAAGATCATTGGAATTAAAGTCAGGGTTGTGACGGGAGCTTTTCAAAGGTGCAGTAAGTAAATAATTATCAAAAGTGTTTTAAATTCATCTGTCTGTTTCTGTTGGTGTTTTTTCAGAAAGAACTCATAATAAACAGAAAAGGAGGTGAAATAACAGAAACCAGAACCCGTCTCTCTCCAGCCCGACCGGGGATGTCCGAGTGGTGGTGGACACAGTTGTTCTAGAAATCGCCAGAAACCACAGAGTCCATAAATGTGTCCAGTCATTTATTATGAAACTGAATAAATGAATGAGACACGTAATTGCTGTGTGATATGTCGTCTAATCAGATAAAATTTACATGAGCAAACAGAAAGATTTCTGTGTTTTACGGTAGAAAAGGTGGATCTACACGAGACTCGTTCATGACAGCTGATGTGGAAAAGCATGGTAGAGCTAAGTAAACTAAGCCTGCTTGTGATGAAATAAAAACAAATGTTTGTAAAATGAACACACAACACAAATCTGATCAAGGACTAAAGTTTGCAAACTTGGGTCAGAAGTTGTGAAGCTGAAGAGTTCTGGTAACACTTGAGAGGCGTTCCAACAGAACCAGTGTTACAGTGAACAGCATTAACTGGTTCCAGTCGGAGGACTGGAGGAAGGTAGAAGATCATGATGAGGGATGAAAGAACGGGGGAAGTTTGTGATCACGTCTTCCTTGCTCCTCACTGGTCGTGATGCGTTTGGATGTTAGCTCCCTAGCAGCTTCAGCACACCTCGCTGCTGAGTTACAGCACCGCACCAGTAATGGACACACAAAGAATCGGATTACATGTTACTAAAAAACAACAATAACAGCATTATTCCATCACTGCGGGTCAGGACAGGTCATGGTGATCACCAATCAGAGGTGCACAGAGAGCGTTCACAAGCAGCAACTGCTGTTTTAAACAGGGCTGATGAAAGGGTCTCCTTGCTCTGTGGTCCCAAACAAACTGGTTCTAAAAGCTAAAATATCACATCCTGTTGTCTGAACATGCGGCGAAAGAATGACCTGAAGGTGTTTTTATCTTAAACCTGGACTGTTCGTAAGCAGACATGTTGTTTATTGAAGTTGTAAAGGGTCTTTTCTGACTGGGAGAAACGTCTGTCAGAAAAAATATTTTTCTGTGAAAAAGTTCAATATTTGGTTCAGATTCGCTGAAATGTTTCAAGATCAGAATAGTTAGACATCAGTTTGTGTTGGGGATCGGACATTCACTCAATCTTCAAAGACAAAGAAGTCACACAGGAGTTAAGTGCTCGCCCTGTAATCGGAAGGTTGCAGGTTCGAGCCCCACTCAGACTGTTGCTGTCATTGTGTCCTTGGGCAAGACACTTAACCCCCCCATTGCCTGCTGGTGGTGGTCGGAGGGACCGGAGGCGCCTGTGTACGGCAGCCTCGCCTCTGTCGTGTCCCATGGCAGCTGTGGCTACAAAGTAGCTCATCCCCACCAGTGTGTGAATGACTGATTGTGTTGTAAAGCGCCTTGGGGGGTTCCACGACTCTAGAAGGTGCTATATCAAATGCAGGTCCTTTCATTCATCATTCATAGAGATGCATCATCTGGTACCTGGAATTGTTCAGTATGACTAATTAGTGATCAGCCGATCAGAAACTGAACGATCAGACTTTGTCTCCTGTCAGTGAACTTACCATCACTAACTTCATTCCCACTAGCAGACCTTCCATGTACAAACTTTGTTTCCAGAATTTAACATTTGAAGTTAATCAGAAATTGGAAGGAATAAATTACGAGTTAGCTATCGCTCTTTTGTTCCTGAGCTGTGTCTATCATCGGCCAAGCAGCGTTCGCTGCACCTGCAGCCAATAATAACGCTGCACTTCATAACTAAACAGAACCACAAACCGAAACGGATCCGCTCACCTTTAGAAAAACAAAACGACTCACTGAATCAGACACGCACCATAGCTCGGGTCACCCGTCGTGTATCTGCAGCAAATCTCACTCAAACAGACTCTAGACTGCCAGAACGAAACACAAAACAAGCCAGTTTTTCTCCTCTGAGCCAAAATATCTCCTGTATGTTGCGAGGAGTGAACCTGAGCTGCCCCGTCCCTCTCATGCAGGGTTCAGGGCAGCCAAGAGCCTGACACCCCCAGCCGAGGGTCAAACATGTAAGCCGTTCTCCTGTGAGCTCAGACAGAAGGTTCTTCTCTCCGTCTATTCAGAGACGAGGCTCTGAAAACCAAAACCAGCTCCAGTTTTAGACCTGAGGCTCTGCTTTCAGGGGCCACTGGGGGCTACAGAGCCTAATCCCACCAGCCTGGACCCAAAGCTACATCAGGACATAAAATCAACGAGAAACTGGAAGGAAATGAGCAGCTTTTGAACAACAAGTCACATATTTGCTCTGATTCATTGAGACTCTAATGAACTCGGGCATCCACCTGAGCATTTAGGAATCCCATCTCCCTGACCTCCAGATAGGAATGTGATAGACTTATGAAGAAGAAGCAGGAACCCGGGGCTGTCTCTTACCCTGGAGATGGTCAGCGGCATGTTGAAGTCCTTCCCCCCCTGCAGCCTGAAGCCCCAGGGCCCAGGGCCTGGCAGGGTCACAGTGTAGGAGCTCATTCTTCAAGAAAACTAAAAAGATCCTCCAAAGGTCCAGCAGACCTGTGACTGACACCCCCGTGGTGATGGAGAGACGGAACGAGGCTCTGAAAGAGGGCACAGGGAAATGAGGAGAAAGAATCAAATGAACAAAGTGAAGGAAAGACGAGAAAGAAGAGGAACCTGCCTGCTTGCAGCTGAAGTGACAGCCTAAGAATAGCCAGAGATAGCACTGTGGCATTGTGGGAGGGGGTGTAGGGGTGAGGAGGGGTGAGGAAGGGGGGGTGGACTTATATGGTGTGAAAGGGGACACCCGGTATGCCAGGCATCACCGTGATTCACCGGGTTAATTTAGACCCAGCAGATTCTTCCAGACTCCCCTCTGAGCCCCCCCCCCCCCCCCCCCCCAAACCCCATCCAGCGGGGCACAGGGTTTCCCTCGGACCCAATCAGGAGCCATGCCAGGAAACATCTCGTTATCTCCACGGAGATGAAGCCAGAGCTGAAAGGTCACGAGCTGAGAGTGTGCGATGGGTAAAAGGTCAGCAGCCTCTGGAGTTATTTCAACCATCATCCCGTCAACATTAGAGCTAAAGAGTGTTAAACACTCCTAGATGTTACAAACGGTAGCTGATGCTCCAAAGGGAGTTTTATCCTGCCTTCAGTCAGGAGTGTCTTTTGTGGATTTGAGAGCAGTGATTGTTATTTTTGGGCTCAGATATGATGCTGACCAATGAGCTTGTCACAGTCTTTTTCTGGGTGTGCTTGTGGTTCAAAGTAGTGCCCCTATTCTCACCTGTGTAGCTTGAACCAGCTGTGGCACGGTATTCAGTTACATCTGGAAATCGGGATCCCATGATCTGCCTCCACAAACTGATTAGTGATGATTGTGATTGGTGGATCGCTGTGTGTCACATCCGCCAACTTATCGCCCATTGTCATTTGTTGGGAAGAAGAGTTGTTTGGAAAGGTTTTACTTATTGCCCAAACTTTAGGGGTGCATTGAATGAGTAGGTCAGTAAAACGAGCGCACCCAGAAGAAGACTGCAACAAGCTCATTGGTCCACATCATATGTGGTTTCCTACTGGCTGGGAAACTTTTGGCAGGATCATCTAAGGCCCAGTCGCAATACCCCGACCTAAAGTCCGCTGCAGAGTGTACTTGGACCGTCGAGATTCCCAACTGAAGTGTGGATCAAAGGTGCAAAAGATCTCCAGACTTGAGAATGGAGACACTTTACGCACTCACACCAGCTGGATGGGCCGCTTCAGTCCCAGAGCACCAAAATAATCCACAGGAGCAGGTTTTAGGAGCACAGAGGGAGCTGAAGCTCCAGAGACAAATGTTTGTATGGATTAAAGAGCAGAGGAGACCATTTTTAAGAGCAAGTAAAACATCTATGAACACACAATGAGATTTCGTTAGTCTGAACAGAGTTTTGAGAGAGAGCAGAATAACATCTGAGCATAAAAACAACAATTACTGCTCTCAAATCCACAAAACTACGGCAGGATAATGATCCTGTATCCACTCAGCAGTTCAGGAGATCCTGTTGGACATGAACACACACACCTGTGTGTCACCGCAGGCGACGACCACAGAGTCTGGTGTGGGTTGTAACTGGACTGGAGGGAACGTCGCATTTGCTGGGACTATTTTCAGCTGTGGAGGAATCATCTATTGGAGGTGTGGTGGGTCTTAGCAGCAGAACAATGATGCTGCCTCAGAAATGTCTGCTGTAGGAAGAGCTGAGTTTTGGATCATAAACCAAACTTCGTGATAAGAAGCTTTTCCTGGTTCTCATCCTGATCTGATCCAGAGTCAGCTTCCATTAAACCTCCATCTAGAGTAAACCTTTCCTTGTGTGTGTCCTCGACAGAGCTGAATGTGAAACCATCTAATGACCCCGAGGAGCTTCTGCTTTCTTCATGTATGGAGGTTGATCTGTGGAGGCGTCAGCTGAGCCCCGGAGACTGATCCCAGAACAGCGTTGTGTATCAGCAGCTAAGTTTAGCTGCCTTTGTGGCAGAGAGGAATCTGACAGAGAGATTTTGCAGGCTGGTTAAAGGTTAAAGAGTGGGATTCACACATTCAAGCTACCTGGAGACATTAGGAGCTGGTGAAAGCACAAAACACTCCAACAAAATAAAGACAGCTGCAAGTAATAAAGAGCTTTTACGGCCGCAGCTTTCAGATCAACTAAACACGTTTAAACCAGTTAAAGGCATTTCAAACCTCCACCCGCTCGGTCTGGGGATGTGTGCTGTTACTTTGCTGGCATTTCAAGTTACCGTGGCAACAACATCAGCAATAAAACCATCTCAGTTTTGCTTTTTTTATTTGTGCTTATCTCAAGTTTTCTATTTAATACCTTTAACTTTGGTTGACCCTCCCCTTGTGACATCATTGAGTTTGAACATTCTGCCTTAGAATCAAAACTCATTAATTCAATTCAATTCAAAACTACTTTATTAATCCCAGAGGGAAATTGATTAATTAATTTGTGGATTTGTTTATCGTTCCAGAAGTTTGTGTCTCACAATTTTTTTTCTAATGAATTAATAAACACGTTACAGTCCCACCCCTGAAAATATTTTATTTCACCATTCTTGTTCGTTGTAGAGCAGCTGAGCACACCTTGTGGAGTTTTTATTATGGAAAACTGGAAAATTATGGAATTTGGTGTTGGAGATTTGTGAACACTCCCCAGCGGGTAGAAAACAGCCCAAAACAGTCAGGAATCAGCTCAGTGTGACGTTGGGACAGAGGATTACACAAACCTAGTAGATTTTTTTTCTTTAACATAGATTCTTATGACAATAAATCAGCAGTGGTAAGACTGAATTTGTGCTTTTGACTTCATGAAATTAGCTTTGTTTTGATTTTCGTTTAGCAGCTTATTGTCATTGTGTGTTGTTGAGGTAGAAAAATTGGATTCTGTTGTTTAGATGAGTCTCCTCCTATTAAGTATACGTGCAGTTTGCACATGTTGGTGAATTTTAAGAATGCTTTTGGAACACCTTTAGTGCTGGAAGTGCTCGTGGACCTGGTACCAGTTTCTTGGGTTCAATTTGTGTGACGCATGAAAATGGTAATTTGGCATCTCCTAGTGGTGATGTGTGGTTAGCGCATCTGAAAAACTCACTTGCAACAATCCCCCCCCACCCCCCACCCCCACCCACCCACCCCCCCAAAAAAAGAAAAGAAATATACACCAGCTGCCACCGGGCAAAAAGGAGAAATTGTCCACAGCTGGGAAAGATATTAGATGTGACCGTCTGAAAAATTATTTCCTTGGTGAGTTCACAGTCAGGGTTTCTCCTGGTTATAAAGCGTTATGGTGGCAGGAGTAGATTATTCAGCAGCGGGAAGACGTAGTCAACTGAAATGGTTTCCCATCAGTCTTGAAGGGGTACCTCTTGAAGCTCACGTAGAGAATGTTAAGAGTGTAGAAAGCAGCAATCAGAGCAAAGGGCGGCTTTTTAAAAGAAAATACAATATAAAACATGTTTTCAGTTATTTCACCTTTTTTTGGTTAAGTACATAATTCTTCATGTGTTCATTCAAAGTTCTGATGCCTTCAGTGAGTCCCAATATAAATGTTCATGAAAATAAAGAAAACACATTGAACGAGACAGGTGTGTCCAAACTATTGACCAGTACTGTACTTGTGTTTTAGTAGAATAAAATAAGACTAAAGTTAAAGCAACTTGTATGACTCATTTGTGACTAAAATTCAAGAGTTTTAGTCAAAAGACTAAAACTAAATTAAAAATTCTTGTCAAAAATAACACTGCAACAGAGTGGACAGGCAGGGAGAAAAGAGAGGGGGAACGGAGGGACAACAGTACACAGCAAACAAACAGACAGAACTAAAGAGCGAGGTCATCACAGAAAAATCTACAAGAATGAAAAGAAATTTAAACTGTTGTATAGTATTACTCACCATATTTGTAGTAGTGTGTACATTTCTGTGTGTGTATATCTTATATAATATATGTGAATGTGGTTATCTATCTGTGGAGGTCTAAACTGTTTGTATGAATCACCAAGTGCTTGTGGGTGTATGAAAGTAGATTTGTCACCAAGAATGTTGCTTGGTTTTCTTTTTTAATTTGGTGTATATGATGAGGGAGGGGCTGCTCCACAACAGCCCAGGTCCCAACAGTGCCAGAGTCTGGGACCACGCATGCCAATAAGCACCACAGGACCGACACCAGTCAGCCAGCCCAGAGGGCTATTCTGGAAACACCCCACAAGCAGCAGGCAGCCCAAGATGCCCACAATCCTAAGCCAACAGCAACCTACCATGCCACAGCACGGGCCAAGGCCTCCAGACAATACCCCAACCCGTGGGTCCCCATCAATCCCCGCAACAGCTCTAGCTCCAGACCCCCAGCCCTGCCACATTGACAAAAGGCAGAAGCGTCAGACATCACCTCTCACCCAGGTGGACTAATGTTGTGGGTGTGAGGGTTGTAATGTATAGGTTGCAGTGAGGTGAATGTGTCTAATATGCATTAAAACTGGGGGAAGCGGTCAAGATCAAGGTCGGATTATCATATGGACAAACTGGGCACAGGCCCAGGGGCCCACAACCACAAGGGGGCCCACGCGAGCAGCAGTCTTTTTTTTTCTGCAGTCTTAACATTGGAGAAAAAAGTTAACAAGTAATTAAACTTGCGCCCACATTTTCTAAGTTAACAGACATTTCTTTTAACAACAGTAGTTTTTGCATCTTTACTGACTGCTTCAGCCCTCTCCCCCCTCCCCCTGCACAGCGGCCACAAACTCACTGATGCGCCTGCTGCCTCTCAGAGTTCCTG